GCGACAAGAGAGCGGGCGGCGAGGACTTAGATGAAAAAAGGAATCTCAAAACATCTTTTTGGTGTTTTGAGAAAAGTGTTTAATTTTTAGATTTTGTAAATGGACAAGTCCAAAAAACACCCCGGTTACCGAACACGTTTCTTTGTTTTTATTAAAAAAAACAGAAACGACAAAAACGCCACGATTGCCAAACGCTTAAGTTTTTCATCAAGTTTATACAAAAGTACTCCCAAACAGATGGAGCAAATTCTGGTGACTCCGTTCTGAAACAGCAGCACTCCCAACGATACCATCATCTTCATATTTGTCCATTGTACCACGTCGCATTTGCTTTCTGTTCTCCTTCTAGCGCGGTTGATGAACTATTATGGGTTTTTTTTTTATTCTTTAATAAAAAGTGGTCCCTTTATTCTCAAAAAAAAGTGATCCCTTTATATTTGCGTTTCGAGCGCGGTTGGTGAACTATTATGGGTTTTTTTATATATACCCCTCAAATCTCCCTTATTTGAACATTTACCCTCCAAATCTTGTTATTTGCAAAATTACTTATCAACTCTCTCACATTGAGTCTTTCTACTCCTGCCACTTAACAATTTTAGTTCCAAAGAGGAAAACGTCGCAAAAATATTGGAAATTAGTGGAAAATTTTGACAATTGCCTACTTAGAAACCAACATTGTTAAAATTAATTAGGGGTGGGAAAAAATCTAATAAGAGAGATTTTTGGGGTGTTTTTTTAAATTTGGGGGGTGGGGGTTGTTGGATATAGGTGTCTGCAGGTAATAATTGTATATTGTAACATGACCTATATGAATATAACATCATTATTTAAAATAATAGTATGCTATTTTGATCAGATTTATCTGGTATTTTAATACAGATAAAGTCCTTAGAATAATACTAGACTATCAGACATTTCGGATATGATCGTAATGAAGAGATCTGATTTGTCGCTAACATATATTCTAAAATGTTCCTAGTCGATGAAGTGTTAAAATGGGACATCATCACTTTGGGAAGACTAGTGTATACTTTATTTCTCCTTTGGTAGGATGATGATCCATCTCTTGGATCATTGATGTGAGACATCAAAATATAGTATACAGGTGACTCATTAGTGAATGAGTTGACTGAATGGCTCACTGAGAACATCTAGTTGATAATTATGCTTAACTATCAAATAGAAGTTCTCAAGTGATATAGTACATAGTAGTCTCTTGACCTGAGGCATGAGTGCAATATCTTACATGTCAGTATAGGTGTACTTAGACTTTTACCTAACCACAATTCTTATTGAGTTGTGCATAACGGTTCTTGTTGGGTGCATTCCGAGACATAAGTAGATATTGAGATGCCAAGATGGGATTCTTCTCTCCCAATATAGGGGGTTGATGTCATAAGATTGTTTGATATAACTATAACCTGGAAATCCTTGACCAAGGTAAATAAGATAAACTGAGTGTCAGTTTGATCTTATAGGTTATGAGTTTAATATCAACAAACACTAATTGAGCAATTAGGGTTTGACAGTTTTTCATACCCTAGTCTCAATAGTTTGACATGGTTTGACAAAGAGACCGGACTGTACGGTATTATCACTGAGTGGTCCTGATAAAATTATGTAAGCATCTTGCAGACATTTATCATAACTTATACCCGGGTAGTCTTTATGTGTAGCTAGCACATCTGTTGTACTTGTGGATATCATCCACTGCCGAGTTCTTAAGTTGGGCCCTAGAGTCGCACCAAACGCGTACTTAAATCATATGAAATACAAATTTATAGGGTAATACATATGATTGATACGCATATATGATTTTCACCGGATACACATAAACGATTATGCATATCGGTAAAATCAGAATGATATGTGCTTAGAAAATAAATTCCAGTATTTTTCCTATAAAATTAACTTATAGTCAACTAGTTGATTTTTTGGTCAATAGTTGACTTTTGGTCAACTCATTAATTTTTTGGTCATATGATGACTTATTAATCAATGATTGGAAAATTACGAAATACTGTATTTATGAAATACTGTATTGATATCGTATTTTCATTTATGAAATACGCACTTTATTATACCTTGATTAATGAGTCATGAGATGAGTCATTAAGGTGGTATGGTTTGGGAACATGGTTTTAGCACATAGTTTTGATTCTTCATGATTCATTACATGACTCATGAGATGAGTCATTGGATGACTCATGAGAGAATCATTGTTTTGATGACTCATGGTGTGACTCATAGGATGAGTCATTCATGTCATGACATATTCTTCCTCTATAAATATGAGCTCTATTTCTTTTTTCATGATTAATGGAAAAATAAAATAAATGGTTTATTCATAGTTGCTTTCCATAAAAGAAAAGAAGAGAGATCTACGGAAAAATAAAATAAATGGTTTATTCATAGTTGCTTTCCATAAAAGAAAAGAAGAGAGATCTACCTCTTTCTAAACTCTAGCAATCTTTAAGTAAGAGGAAGTAGTAGGATTTTAAAGTACCCCGGGGTGGATATCTTGCCTTGTGTCTCAAGAAGACTCCGATTTTATCAAGCCCACTTGAAGACTTGGAGATCCACTACGAGAAGATTTTCTACTACAAGGAGCAAGAGCTAGGGGTTATTCGATCTTTCATCGAATCACGCTTCGAAAACTCCGATTTTATCAAGCCCACTTGAAGACTTGGAGATCTACTACGAGGAGATTTTCTACTACAAGGAGCAAGAGCTAGGGGTTATTTGATCTTCTATCGAATCACGCTTCGAAAGTATGACT